TTCCATGTGTTTGCCTTGTATTCACTCTCTTACTGCACACGTACTCTTCCTGCATGATATTGCAGGCTGCAGTCTCACAGCAGTTTCTTGCTATAACTTTTGCTTCAAAGAAGTGCAACAATAGAGACCAATTACCCTCTGTCTCCACTCTTATTGCAATAAGCCTGAGGAGAAAAAAAAAAAGTGAGCGCACCCCCCCCACCACCACTGCCTTTTCAATTTTAAATCCTAACCTTGTTGGTAGTGCCATTTGTGGATTTGAACTCCCTGGCTTTGTGTGCAGCATTATCTGGAGATTCACCTGGTACTGATCCAATGAACCAACGCAACCTTACAAAGCTGAAGGGAAGAGTGTAGAGCTGCCTTTGTAATAAATCATATGCCATGAAAAAGGATTTCTTTAACTCCTTTCCTCCATTATTCTCCGTATCTCACCTTGTGGAAATGGGTCTGTTAGTGAGAGACTTAGACTCACATAGTAGGAAAAATGAACAGGGGAGGAAAAAAAACCCAACGAAGTGAAAGGAAGGCAGAGTTCCTGGAGGTTTCTATAACTTGGAGATTCCAGACAGTAGAGGCAGAACCCAAAAGAAAAGGAAGCAGCCCTAAAAATAAACCCAGCATATGCCTTGGTACTAAACCTTCCTCAGTTCTAGCAAGGGATAAGGATGTTTTTGTTAAAGCAGCTGCATAAGAAATCCTTAAAACCAGTGATGAGTTAAGCCACCAGAGGCAAGAAGGTTCTGTCCATGTAATTGCCCAGCACGCTGAATGCTGGTCTGAGCCATCTTTGTTTTTACTGAGTGGAGCTGGTAACCTCTTGAGATCTGGCTGCCTCCCAAGTAGGGAGGGATGAATACTGCAAAATGTTTCAGTTTCCATTTCAATTTTGAAACTCATTTGCTTTGACTGAATTTGCACTGTGTTTATGTAAATTTATAAACACTGTAATAAATTTATCTACTTATAGAAAACAGAAATTTTAGAAAAAGGCTAGAGAACATTTGTGAAATGCAAATTCTAACCCAACAAGTATAATCACAGAACCTGATTTAAATGTACATTCAGTCACAGAGCGGAAACATAGTATGTGGTCTGTATATCTAGCAAACCCTAACAAGCATAATCCAAAATTCAAACAATTGTTAACAGTTTAAATATTTTAAATTGCATACATGTCCTTTTCTGTATTGGCAATGACTATGTGACGCACAGCTCAGGTTTTTGCAGCATGTATGAAGACCACAATCGGCTAATAGTAGCAGTTTGCTACTTTGCTTGTTATAGAAAGCTCACCTACTTCTGATTACACTTTTTTCTAACCTATGACTGTGCTAGCATATCATTCTTATCTCGCTCTGTGTCAATATTACCTGCCACATTTGTAATAGCATTCATGAGCATGGCCATTAAATCTCATGGAATGAGGTGTTCTCCAGTGCTCTTACTCTGCAAATGTTCATCTGCTCCAGCCCTCACTGATTTTGAAGCTGCTCTTATCTTCCCATGCACCTCCTGGAGAAGTAATGTCTCCTGGTCTGTTCTCCTCCATATTCCCTTTCAAAGATCAGCTTTGATGTAATTTGGGGGGGGGGAGTTGCCTTTGTTAATTTTGTGCTAAACACATTGGTTTATTTACTGCACAAAGTAAGCCTGTTTAGGACAGATTTGGAGGCCCTTTCCAAATCGGGGAAACTCTTACAGTCACATGAGGAACCATATTGAAGCCAATGACAACACTTGTTGTCATTGGTCTGAGTAAGAAAGATATCGAAAGATCCCATGCTATATTGGAACACAGTTGTTTTCCATCGTAGAGCTGCTGTTTCCAGAATTTAACTATATCTGTACTTTGCCCACACAGTGTTTGACGCAGCAGGTAAACAGTTAAGCAATGGAAGCAGCAAGCAATGTGTACTAGAAATGAACTGGTTTAAGGTTGGTAAGGGGAATTAAAAAGCAGCGCAAGATGCAGTTTTTTTACGTTATCCTGTTCAACTTCTTGCATTGGAGATATTAGCCACAAGGGAGATCACATCATCTGGGAGCAAGAGAATATAATGAATGCAGGATCTGTAATAGGCATGTGGGAGATTCTTGCCGTATGTTTTGGTCATGTCCTGATATATGTGAGCTTTGGGAGACAGTTCTCCATGTAATAGAGTCAATAATCAAATCTGAAGTACCAAAGAACGCAACTTGATGTTTCCTTAGAGAGACTACAAGTTTGCAAGAGATGAATAGAGAGAGAATGTGGTAGACACAAATTTGTCTTTAGGCAAAAAGGAAAGAAAAAAGATTTAAAAACAGGGGCGTGGAGAAAAGAAAATTTTACACTGTTCCCAGACTGGAAAGAAATAGTAATGCCTACATCAGAAATTTAATTAATTGTTGTTACATTGATAAAGATGTGATATACCACATCAAAGACTAGCTAAATGATATTTGGAAATTAATTTGGGTTCCTATTAAATAGAGCTCAGAGGAGCTTCCCAAATGAATAACTTGTTTGTCAAGCATTGATTCCTTCTGTTTATAAAGTCTTCTCAAGTAAAGACAACTATTTTCAGCTGTTCTTGTTGCTCAAAATAAACTGTGAGATTCATCACTAACCGGATATTTATGGCAAATTCATATACTGCATATCACAGTGCATTAGTATCTCACAGAAATTAGATATTTCTTACTTCTGTACCCTGTAGGGATGACTTTATATAAAGTTATCTGAAATGTCCCAAACCCCAAATTTCATATTGGCAAGCTATGTTTGAATTTAAAATTTGGATGTTTTGTAGCTTGGCCACTTCAATATGCTTTGGAGATAAACATAATGAAATCAAAATATACTTGTTTTCTGTTGTGTTGTTAGTTTTAGATATTCCTAAACCAAAATATAAATGGGACACATTAACCCTATAAGAGGATATGAATTCAGGTTCTGATCTCTTAGGAAAGTTATCCTGTAAAGTGAACATCATGTTTTCTTGGGAACTGTGCCAAAATACAGTAAGACTTAAGATGATCGCCACAGTTTCTGCTTTTTAAAATGAAAAAGTAATTCCTATGATTCTATTCTTAAACCAGTTTTATCTCAGTGTAATTCCGCCTTTGTCTCTGGAAGTACTTCAGATTTTATATTAATGTTGGTGAGTTCAAAGGAAGATAGGATTTAGGAAAACTGCATGGAAAGAGTTTACATAAAGATTAAAAAAAAAAAAAAAAGACAGAGAGAAATGTTATGTAGTATGTTCTGCTTTATAGTGGGATGGAGACAACTTTTTCTGTTGTGGAATTGTTGCTGTTGGAGTGTCCAGAGCTGGAATCCATCTGTTCTCTAGACAAGTAAACAACTGACCACCAAGACAAAAAGGTGGCTTTCTCCACGACAGTGAGCCATCTGGCTCATCTGTACACCGGGTCAGCAGTGATGGAGTTGCAGAGCTGGCAGCTGGGTGTCTGAACACCCAGACAGCCTGATGGTTGGGTTGTCTAAGGCCAAGGAGCATGGCAGCTCCTGCCTGCTCAGCTTCCCAGAAGAATTTTTACAGAAGAACATCCCATTACCTTTATACTTTTTGGTTCATCGGAAAATACACATTCATCATTTTTGGAAATTAAATCCTCTAGTTTCTTCCCCTCATTTTTCTTAGCATTTCACACCTCTGTCTTAGTTTTTATTTGGGTTTGATGTAGGCAATCATTTGTTTTAGCTGTTACAGAAGTGAGGCCTTTTCTTTTCTTTTTGCCCATTGAACTTATGTTTTCTATTATCAGATTCTTAGTTTTGTCAAAGAGTAGTGCTACTGGAGTAAATCTCTATTATTTGCATAGGTGTGTTAAAAAGATTAAGGCTGAACAGACATTCTTGTAACAGACCAGAGATCAATAAAAGATCTCCTTTTCTGATGAAGCTTTTAAGGCTTAGCAATGAGGTTGATTTTTATGTGTTTGTTTTGAATGTAAAGGAAGTTGCATCCCTACCTGAACTTTTTTGTGTGGTCTTTCATAAAATTTCTGAGCAAAATCTACCCAAGGCCCACTGGTTCCAAGGTTCGCTGGTTCCAAGGTTCGCTGGTCCCAAGCTCAGCTTGAAATGGCAGAAGAGACTTTTCTCTCTACTTCTATCAGTGGCCACAGATTATCTAGGTAATCTGTGCAGTGGGCAAGGAACATGATTTCACCCTCCGATTTGTGCCACTTTGAGGTTTGAGTGTTGTTCACTCTGACAACAGCCTGCTGAGTTTCAATGGGACTTCACAAAGAATGGGATATTACTCTCTGGGACATAGAGTAGCAGCATCAAACTCATGGCAATGTAGTAAGAGACATATGAGTCATGGCAGGAAGGAGAAGCCAAGGTGGCATACATGCTTCAGCACCCACAAGATTTAATGGCCAATAAGCATTTAAACTTAGTGTCTTGGCTGGCTAACTGTTGTGTAGGCAATTACAGGAGAGACTGAGGAATTACAGGAAGAGACTGAGGACCTGGGTTAGTGGAACAATTATATTCATGCTTTAAATCCCTGAAGCGCATACTTAATGGCCATTGATTTCAGTGCTCTTAACAGCTTTGCTGAGTCAAGGCTTGACTGAGGGCAAAGTAAAGGCCTGGTGATGCAGTTCATGAATCATCCTCATAGCTTTAGACTTCAGCTAGAGCTGTGAAGAGAAGGGAACCTTGAAGGCCAAACAGGCTCTTCCAGTGCAAGCTGCTAAAGGATAGAGTGAGCAAATGTGTTGTGGAGGGGAAGAAGGCTGAATGACCAAAGATGTTTCAGTTGATGCTCGATACTCTACTTACCATGTTACTTCTAAAAGTTGCCAATGTTGCAGAATTTCCTCTTCCTTGGAGGAGCATTTGCTTTTCTTTTTTCCACGTGAATAACTTGTTTAAATACACCAGCTGCAGAATATAGTCCTAATTCTGCAGCTGAAGCCAGAAGAGCCTGCAGCCCCTATATGCCCTTTGTATGTGTTCTTTTTTTGTGTGTGTGCAGGTGCTCCCTGATGGGGTTTGATTTAAACCGGCACTGGGCAAATCCATCTCCTTGGGCTCATCCCACACTGCATGGAGTGAAACAGCTCATCATTGAGATGTACAGCGATCCGGTGAGTGGGGAAAGATGATGACACAACAGCAACTTGATGAGGTGCCGACTCTCTCCTGCTGCGGGGTTGTGCAAGATGCCAGTAACTCTGACGTGGCTTAATCCAGTGACAAACCGAAATGAGAGAGAAGTAAACAAACACCACCCCCACTGCGTGAGATCAGGGAACATTTGTGTCTTTTGTCACAGGAAGCATCAGAGTGGAGAAAGCAAATGGAATGAAGTTCAGCTCAGATTAAATATGGAATAATTCTGAAAGCAGGCTCTAAATTCAATCGAGCTGCTCTCATTGATGTCCTGAGCTGGATTCGAAACAGCAGGCCCCCCAAATTGAATTACTGAATGGCATTGATGTTTAATCCAGAGCTTCTGCAGGGGTTGCTATGTGGCGTGTGGAGCAGGAGGAGGGATAATATTTGCAAATATTTTATACACACACAGACACACACTCATGCTCAGTCAGAGAGGCAGAGGTGTTCTTGAAGGTGAAATCTCAGCTAATCAGAGAAGATGGATTGCAGAGAATATGGAGGAGTGGGAGGGAGGCAGACAGCTATTGAATGTTCGACATCAAAGCACAGAAGGATTATTGAACGTGGCACCTAAGAAAAACTGCTGAACAAATATGGAGATGGGTAGGAAAAAAATCACTGCCAAAAAATAAGAGGAGATTTCATAGATAATTACTTTTTATATATGGGATTCCTGGTATTTGTACTCTTTTTCTGCTTCCCATTACAGAGATGGCATTTGGATTTTTAATTCTCTGATGTTTTGCTAATTTTGGGGATTTTTTTTCTGGTAGTGTAAAAAAGAACATGGTTTACCTTTCTAATAAAGAAAAGGGATTCTTACCCCTGGCTACATCTTGTATAGGATAAGAGCTCCTTTAATTTAACTCCCAGTTCTCCCCATGCATCTTAATTGGACTTTTTATCTTCCAGCTAGTAGTAATACCCGTACAGAAGGGGTTTTAAGTACAAGAAAGATAGGTCAATAGATAAAGTCCTTACATATAGAGTGGAATCCAATTGCATAGAAATTATTTTCTTAGGCTGCTAATTGTTTGGCCCAGAATTTGTCTTTCTATTCTGTTTGTGCACCACCTTGCCTTGTGCCTGAGACCAAGGTTCCTAAGCCTTGCTGTATTAGGGTGATGACGCAAAGTACAGAATGGAGCTTTACAGCCAGTCTGGTCTTTCCTTTGTTTCCTACACCAAAGAACAAGACAATTTTCATTCTAGATGATGGAGATAGCATGCAAGCTACTTTGTCTGAGAATAAAGGGTTTTTTCTAAGAATAAAGAGGTCCTTAAACATTACAAGAAGGTTGGGT